CTCTTTGGTTCAGAATGGGTCTGCACTAAAGAACTGGAACTTCAATACTCTATGTCTCCACGTTTCATACTTGCAATGATACTTCGATCATGTTGGCTTTTCTTGTAAAAACTAGACTGGGGGGAACCTTAGCATGTGTTAACCCCAATGCACAGTGTGAAATCAACAGAAGCGCCTTGCTAGGAAAAGACTTTGAAGCCACATGGAGACAATCATGTTTCCTTTGTCTGTTTGAAAGATCACTGGGAAATAGTTGCACCAAAGACAGCAGATCTATCAGTTCAGTCAGCCTGTGAATCTGAATGCGTAAACAAGCTACAGGACAGACTGTGTGAACTCTTCCAGTTCACCTGAAAATCAATGTCCTGGCTATTTGACTACAAAAGTCCTCACAACCTGCCATGAAAACTTCATTTTAAAAGTTTCTCAATTCAACTCTAATTCATTGAACCTAGTCAAAAGACAGCAGGCTTGCCATATGGGAGACAGAGATTGTCAATGAGATGGTGATGAAAATGAGATTTAGAATTTATTGTCACATGTACTTGAGTACACGATTACAGGGGTACAGTGAAAAGTGTCCAAGCTCGCCATTCTCTGGCACCATCTTAACATATAAAAGACAGGATTAAAAACAGACGCAATAATAAAAGAAACAGCTAAAAGATAAGGAAACGTCTTGATTACTCCCCACCTCCAGCATCAGTTTTGCCACCAGAAAAACAAAGTCACAAAGTCCATCCTCTTTGTAGGTTACGTGGAAAAGCTACGCCTGCCTCTTTGTAGGTTACGTGGAACAAAGGGGGTAGCCATGGGTACCCGCATGGGCCCAAGCTACGCCTGCCTCTTTGTAGGTTACGTGGAACAATCCCTCTTCCGTACCTACACCGGCCCTAAACCCCACCTCTTCCTCCGTTACATTGATGACTGTATCGGCGCCGCCTCGTGCTCCCACGAGGAGCTCGAACAATTCATACACTTCACTAACACCTTCCACCCCAACCTTAAGTTTACCTGGACCATCTCTAACACCTCTCTCCCCTTCCTGGACCTCTCTGTCTCCATATCGGGCAACCACCTAGAAACCGATATTCATTTCAAGCCCACCGACTCCCACAGCTACCTAGAATACTCCTCCTCCCACCCACCTTCCTGCAAAAATGCTATCCCCTATTCCCAATTCCTTCGCCTCCGCCGCATCTGCTCCCAGGATGAGGCATTCCACTCCCATACATCTCAGTTGTCCTCGTTTTTCAAGGACCGTAACTTCCCCTCCTCGGTGGTCGAGAACGCCCTCAACCGTGTCTCCCACATCTCCCGCACCTCATCCCTCACACCCCGTCCACGCAATAAAAACCAAAAAAGAATCCCCCTCGTCCTCACGTACCACCCCACCAACCTCCGGATCCAACGCATCATCCTCCGACACTTCCGCCATCTGCAATCCGACCCCACCACCAAAGACATCTTTCCCTCCCCACCTTTATCTGCTTTCCGGAGGGACAACTCTCTCCGTGACTCCCTCGTCCGCTCCACACTCCCCTCCAGCTCCACCACACCCGGCACTTTTCCCTGCAACCGCAGGAAGTGCTACACCTGCCCCCATACCTCCTCCCTCACCCCCATCCCAGGCCCCAAGAAGACTTTCCACATCAAGCAGATGTTCACCTGCACATCTGCCAATGTGGTATACTGCATCCGCTGTACCCGGTGTGGCTTCCTCTACATCGGGGAAACCAAGCGGAGACTCGGGGATCGCTTTGCAGAACACCTACGCTCGGTTCGCAACAAACAACTGCACCTCCCAGTCGCGAACCATTTCAACTCCCCCTCCCATTCCTCAGACGACATGTCCATCCTGGGCCTCCTGCAGTGCCACAACGATGCCACCCGAAGGTTGCAGGAACAGCAACTCATATTCCGCTTGGGAACCCTGCAGCCCAATGGTATCAATGTGGATTTCACAAGTTTCAAAATCTCCCCTCCCCCTACCGCATCCCAAAACCAGTCCAGCTCGTCCCTGCCTCCCTAACCTGTTCTTCCTCCCACCTATCCCCTCCTCCCACCTCAAGCCGCACCTCCATCTCCTACCGACCAACCTCATCCCGCCCCCTTGACCTGTCCGTCCTCCCTGGACTGACCTATCCCCTTCCTAACTCCCTACCTACACTCACCTTTCCTGGCTCCATCCCTGCCTCTTCGACCTGTTTGTTTCCTCTCCACCTATCCTCTCTTCTATCCCTCTTCTATCCGCCTCCCACTCTCTCCCTATTTATTTCAAAACCCCCTTCCCCTCCCCCTTTTCTGATGAAGGGTCTAGGCCCGAAACGTCAGCCTCTCTGCTCCCATGATGCTGCTTGGCCTGCTGTGTTCATCCAGCCCTGCACCTTGTTGTCTCGGATTCTCCAGCATCTGCAGTTCCTACTATCTCTGTCACAAAGTCCATCTCTCAGTTTGTGAACAGTCAGGTGGGCCCAGACCCCACAAGCCACTGCAGCTGGAACACCACCATCTCTACCATAAAGCACCTGGGCCTGGCCATGTCCTGGACCCGTGCCACTGCTGCTGGAGCCGTGTCACTATTATTTGGCGCCAACTTGCCTCCACCGATGTTGCTGCTGCCATGAGTCCGTGCAAGGCCGATCTCGGCAATGCAGCTATCGTTGAAGCAGTTGGATCCTGAACTGGGCCCAAACTCGATGCTGGGCCCTATCAGGCCGAAACAGCGGGTGCCTCTCCTGGTTTACGTTGCTGCCACTGCCACCTCCTGGGCCCACCATTTCAACAAAGGAGCCCAACACTGTCAACGCTCCGGGAAGGAACCACTCCCATCGCTGTCGATATTCTGGGAAGGAACTGTTCCCACCACTGTCGATATTCTGAGAAGGAAACGCTCCCATCACTGTCGATATTCCTGGAAGGAAAACCCAACAGGTAGAATCTTATCGGGGCCTGAGTGCGACAGAAACTGATACAAATTCTGCTGAGGCCTTTCTCAATATTGGAAGCCTCTTGTGCTATTCTTTATGTTTTTGACAAATAGTGAGGAAAGTTTGTTGCTAGGCAGTGCACACTGTCAATTAAAGGGGCTTATAGCTTGTTAAACATCTTACTAATGGCGCAACACACCTCATTAATCTTCAGCCTTCTATCTCACCAAATGCATCAAATAGGCCTCAAGAAATTTCAACATGGAAATCAAAGCAAATACCTGGCAATATCATCTTTGTTTGCTCCAATGTCCTTTATGTTGGACACTGGGTACACAAATATACAGCCAAGCTTTATGGGCACTGGCCATATGCTATAGCTTCAGACATTGGCATCTAATTTGTGCTAGCCTCTAAGAACAATCATGGCACATCCTCAATTCACTTACAGAATGCTTTGTATCTTTGCCAGATGATATATCTGTTGTATGTATCAATTAGAAATGTGAAGTATTTCTGTTGTTTCTTCTCCTGAAGTTATTCATGCTCTTTGAGAAATATTTTCATATTTCAGGCAGGCATTTGCACAAAGATCATATCCAAGAACAGAGACACATGGATATATTAAAAATTTGAAAAAAAAACAGAATTGTTTTCAAACAGCATATAAATCATATTTAGGTTGTGCAAACTATATGTCAGAATCCCCAGCATCTCTCCGAAATCCACAAGTAGTTCTATGTGAGAAAATTATATAAAGCAACCCCATTTCATGATCAACCAGTAATGGATTTCGGTTTCTCTGTATGTTCATTAGATTATTTAATGTAATCTGCAATGCTGGGATTTACTCAAGTGATCTTAAAATTGTACATTTTGTGTTTGCCTTATTCATCATTATGTGCAATTTGCATCACAGCCAAGCTGCTGATGATTTGCTTTCATACTGTCCTAGCTGTTCAAGGTAGTTTTCACATTGAAATTTGTCCATTTTACTCTGAGTGGATCTCCCATTGTAAGGCAGAGAGGGGGATGTGTGAAGTAGGGTTGGTATGGAAAGTGTTGTAAGTTTTCTAAGAGAAAGGAAAGCTTGGAGAAGTCTCTAAGGATATTAGTTGGTAGCTCATACAAAAAAAAACCTCAAGATTGTCTTTTGTGGTAGTTCTGACACTAAATTGAAGACATCTGTGATCTCTGTCATCTCTGTTTCACTGATTGTCCCTTGGTCTCCTGTTCTCCCTGAGCTCTCTCAGGTCTTTTTGTTCTTTTTGCATGTCTTCCTGTTCTTTTTTCTTTCATTAACCTTTTCTGCTTTATTTGGCCTCAAGTCTACTTTTCTGTTCAGAGCTCTGATTTTTATCAAATTGAATGATGTTTGTCACGTTTGTCAGAAGCATGTGATGTTGTGTTTAATTAGGGGTAAATGTTCATGTTTCCTAAAGGGCCAAGTGGCTTTATATGACAATTGACGAAAGTTTCAGGACACCATTGCTGAGTTTGGTTTTATATTCCACATTTTTAAAAAAGATTAAATTAAAATTACAACAGCTGCCATGGTAAGATTTGAACTACGTCCCTGGATCACTAATTCCAGTGACAATGTCTACACCACTGCCTCCCTGACATCAGTAAGTATCAAAAGTGTACTTTTGGTCTATATCCAAATATAAACAGTGAACAGAAGTGATCCAATAATCGAAGACTGTGGGATCCCAATGTTCACGCTCAACTGCACCACAACAGAATCTGTCTTAATTCCCCGTACAGTTTTCTTCTCGTGTAAACTAGTTTTTAATTCAGTTTTCCATCCACTCTCTAAATTTGTACCGAGTTCCATTGCTTCCAAAACATAACCTGACATTAGTTAATGTCCGGTACAACATCTTCCTAACGTTTTCTGAATCATACTGCTTTCTTGTCAAGGAGTGAATAATTTTTGTTTTCCTTTTCTGATTGCAGTCTAAGTATGATCATTAGTGAGATTTGGTTTCACACATCATCTCGAGGACAGAGCTGGTATAACCTGACAGAAGTATGTAAATCTCACTGCTTACATCTGTTGCTTTTCAGGTGCTGAAAGGTTCCAAAAAGTTGATTCTGTCTGTGCGCTCAGTTGGCCGTATTCCAGGAGGCTACATCACCAACCACGTCTACACTTGGGTGGATCCACTGGGCCGCAGTGTTTCCCCACCACCCAACCTACTCGAACACAAGAGTAACACACCGCAGAGGAAGGAGAGCGAAAAGATGAGTAATCTTCAACTACTCCAAGATGGAGATGAGAAGAAGGTAATTTGTAATGTCTTCTGCTACGTTCAGTAAAACGTTTTTCTGAAGGATTGTGGGTAAAATACTTAGATGTCAGGAAACATGCTGGATGGTTCTCAATTGGACTTTTGTGTTGGAGTATTCCCAGCCCACCGGTTTGAATGACGTCCAAGCTAATGGGTGAAGGAAGAAACAGAAAATGTTGGTCGTTCTCACGAGGTGAAGTAGCATCTGGGTAGAGAGTTAATTCCATGCATTGATGACCTTTCTAATCTGGTGAACGTCCTCCATCTCGGCCAGTTAGATCATAAGATCATAAGAAGTGGAGCAGAAGTAGACCATACGGCCCATTGAATCTGCTCCACCATTTAATGAGATCATGACTGATCTGATAATCCTCAACTCCACTTTCCTACCTTTTCCCCATAACCCTTGATTCCTTTACTGATTAAAAATCTAACAATCTTAGCCTTGAATATACATAACAACCCAACCTTGTCAGTCCTCTGTTGTAAGGAATCCCTCATGTTCATTATCCTCTGAGAGAAGAAATTCCTTCTCATCTCTGTCTTAATTATGTGACCCTTTATTCTGAGATTATGCCTTCTGGCCCTGGACTCTCCCACAAGGTGAAACAATCTTCTCCTTTCTACCCTGTCAAGAGTCCTGAGAATCTTATAAATTTCAATAAAGTCACCTCTCATTCTTCCATAGTTTGAGTTTGGACTGACTCAATCTCATTCCTTAGGGGTGTGAACACACTACCTCATAACTTGGCTTGAATTTAACAGCCTCAGCTGGAGAGATCACAGGAATAACTAAATGAACAGTGTGGGAGGCAGCAAAAATCGACATATCAAATTTGGAAGTGAAAATCTGAATTTGAGGATGAAATACATTATTGGAACAGAATAAAAAGGGTTTTATTTGCACCAACTAAAACTATAGCTGGTCTGAAAGCATTGAATGCTTATACTGTGTGCCAAGCATAGAAAAACGTTCACTTCTGCATCACTTGACTTCTGTCACTATGATTTGCAATTGAATAGGATAATATAGAATATATGGTGAAGTATCAGTATTGGGTGGATTTTGAAAGCTGTATGATGAGAGATGAGTTGGGTGGAAAGATTTCTTTCACTAAATCAAAGAACTTCTTTGAGCATTTCTGGAAATTAGTGCCTTGAGAAAGCAATACAATCACAGATAGAGCCGTAGTCCCCTAGGACTGTCTGACTGTGTGTTTTATCTAGTCATTAGCTGAACCGTGTGGATAAGGTAGATTATGGATTTGGTGCCCCGGATGTTTTATCGTTGATCTAGGCAACATTAGCATATTATAATTGGCCTAAGAAGTCATGGTGCGCAAAGAGATGAATTTGTGAATATTCTTACTCCTGCGGGCTGTTCAGTGATCAATTCCAGTTGGAAATCTGTGTCTGTGAAGACTAACTAACAAATAACTTGGCTCTTCCTGCTTACAGTTCAATAGCACATGCTTAACCAATCATTTTAGGAACATATGAATTTCAAGCAGGAGTTGGCCACTTGGAATTTCCAATTTCCACAGGATCTTGTATGTTTCAGTAAAGTCAATCTTTTTTATTAAGCTCCTGTAGCTACAAGTCTAGCCTGTCTAAACTTTCCTCACAAGCCAACTAGTCCATGCCAGATATTACTCTGGTAAATGTTCTCCAATCTGTTTCCAATGCATTTACATCCTTACTTAAATAAGGAGACCAATACTGTGTACAATACTCCAGACGTGGTCTCATCAATGCCCTAAATAACTCCCTACTTTTTATATTCAATTCCCCTTACAATTAACAATAATGTTCTGTTAGTTTCCTAATTACCTGCTGTACTAGCATACACCCTTTTGTGATTGATGCACAAGAACACCCATATCCCTCGATATTTCAAGTCCAATGACTCTGCCTTCTCCCCACAGATACCACCAGACCTGTTGGGTTTCTCCAGCAATTTCTATTTTTGTTTCAGATCTCAGTCCTTTGTTTTATTCCCTCTATATCTCAGAGGTCTGCAATCTCTCACCATTTAGATAGAATGCTTTGTGCTTATTCGTCTTGCCAAGTGGACAATTTCAAATTTTCCCACATTGTGATTCAATTGCCAAATCTTTTCTGCTCACTTAATCTATCTATATCCTTTTGTAGCCTCCCTATTTCCTTTTCACAAGTTAATTTCCTAACTATCTTTGTGTCAAGAGCAAATTTGGCAAGCATAACCTCCGTCCCTTCATCAAAATCATTCTTATAGATTGTAAACTTTTGAGATTCCAGCCCTGATCCCTGTGGCACACATTTGTTACATCAAGCCAACCTGAAAAAAAAATTATGAGTACTCACTGTTTCCTGTTCGCTAGTCAATCTTCTATCCATGCCAATATGTTACCACTATTCCATGGGATTTTACTTTCCATAATCACCTTTGATGTGGCATTTCTGGAAATAATAAACCCACCAGTTCCCTTTCATCCACAGCACATATTACTTCTTCAAAGAAGTCCAATAAACTGTACACACATGATTTCCCTTTCACAAAGCCATGTTGACTCTGCCTGATTACCTTGAATTTTTCTGAGGGCCCGACCATAACATGTCTAATAGCAGCTTCCAGCATTTTATCATTGACAAGTGTTAAGCTAACTGTTTGGTAGTTTCTTGCTCTCTGTCTCACTCCCTTTTTGAACTAAAGAACTATATCTTCTAATTTCCAATCTAATGGAATCTTCCCCAAATTTAGGACATTTTGAATAATTAAAACTAACACATCCACTATCTTATTCGTCACTTCTTTTTGACCCTAAGATGAAGTGTATCAAGACGCATAGACTTCTCAGCCACATATAAATGCAATTTATTTCGTACCAGTTCCCTGGTGACTGCAATTTTCATGAGTTCCTTCTTCTCTTCCATTTCATGATTTACAGCTATTTCTGGGATATTCTTGTATTCTCTGTGGTGAAGACCAATGTAAAATACCTGTTCAATTCACCTGCCATCTCCTTCTTTTTCACTATTGATTCATCAGACTCATTTTCCATATGACTAATGCTTTGTTGGTCATTGCCCAGCTTTATGTTAAGAGTAATGCCTGTTTTGGATAAGAAACTAAGATTGTCTGCTCTCTAGACCTGCTCCTGAGCACCAAGTTATGGTCTTTGATGGGGAGAGAATAGTATAAATTTGTAAAAAGTAGTAACAATAGAATGTGGTGAAAGAGAATCCATGAGGAAAAAGACCAAAATAATGGATCAGCGAGAATGACAAAGGAAAGTTGAAAGAAGAATAAGCATTGTGGCTATTAGAGAGCATGGGCAGAACCTGGAAAAACAGGCATCTAAAACATTGAGCTGTTCTCAGGAGATTTTTTGTTAAAAACCGAAAGAACTGCGGATGCTGTAAATCAGGAACAAAAGCTGAAGTTGCTGGAAAAGCTCAGCAGGTCTGGCAGCATCTGTGAAGAAAAAATCACAGTTGTTGTTTCAGGTCTGGTGACCCTTCCTCAGATTTTTCTTTAATTTGGTTGTTCTGACAGAATGGATCAACTGTTTGCTGTTGGTGAAGATGTGAAAAGAAACAGTGAACAACAATTTAAGGAGACTGACAATAGAATCAAAAAGGACATGACGAAAGCCTTTCTTTTCATTTAGACATTGATTTAGGATCTGGAATCCACTGCCTCAGAATGTGGTGGCAGCAGATTTAGTTATAGCCTTAAAAATTGAATTTGATGATTATCTGAGGATAACACATTTGCAGAACTCTGGAGAAAAGTCAGGGAAGTGAGACTGGCTTAGTGGTTCTTACAGCGAGCCAAAATGTACATGAACGGCCTCCCTCCACACTGTAACCATTCTATGATTCTAAATAAGTAAACCTCTCTATTACACTTCAATTCAGTGACAATTCTAACTAAAATTTGTTTGTCAGTAATGATTTCCAAAATAGCTCAGTACTGCCGCTCTACTCATTGACAACTTCCTCCAGCTCAATGTTGTCTGTCCACAATAATTTTCTAGTTACGTTTCTCATTCCTACCCCTAACCCACTCTGTTCTTTTTTTTGAGGAGCTTCTGTTACCAGCTGTTCGAGGTTTTGTCAAATTTGTCAAACCCATGCTTGTCAGATATCTGGTGACTAACTGAAATGTAGTACTTAATGGAAGGGTGGTAGGAATATATAAACATGTTGAGGTCAAGTTCATTTCAAATGACAAAGTTGCCAATGAGATCTCAAACATCATATTAGACTTGGTAATCTGATACATAACAAGAGTATTCTGAGATATTCTATGATTGATAATAATTGACCTGCCAGTCTATTACTGAACAGAACATAAAATGGGAGATCTGTCACTTGGATCTAGATAATACTGCAAACCAGTAGCCCAGGCTTATCTGGAATGTGTTGATTAACTTTGCAGTTTCGAATGGATAACCCTAAGCAGTAGTGGTGGGCACATGTGACCTTGGCTTGGTCAACCTACACCTCAGTTCTCTGGAATTATGCATTTGAGAAGCACATTCTTCTGCAGAAAGAGTCTGCTGTGTATATCATGCAAACAAATGTTCCAGAATATAGATTTTTCAGTGTCTCAGTTTGAGGCCAATTAAACATAGTGGCGGTTTCCTTATATGTCAAAGACCTCACAGACCACAAACTTACTCTTTCTAATGTACTGTCTGCAAGTCACAACACAGGAGAATTGAGTGGTTGCAAGGATGTGTGGAAGTGCAGTATGCCAAGATTCCATATTTTCTCTGATTTAAATAAATAAAATATTACCATGCATCATTTACCATTTCTTATGTGGTGAGTCTAATGCTGTCCACATTATAACTTTAAGCTGAACTGTCAATATTTATTAGTGTTTTCAGAAAGAAACGATGCCATACCTTTCATGATTATTAGATTTTGTGACCTTTACATTTTTATGAGTCTTTTATGAGTGTTGTGTGTCCTTATTCTAATGCAAATAAGAACAGTTCACTCATC